GCTTCCCCAGTGCATTTCCACTGCCTGTTTACCTGCTGGGCAAGCCTGGGGAAGCTTCTAAGAACAGCGCCCATCAGCTGTAAGGCGGGGAGGGGGAGGGACGAGCTGAGAAGATGGCAAAATGGCCGCCTGCTGTGTTTTGGCCTGGATTCCTCACTTACTGGGCAGCGAAAATGGCAACCGCATGGAGGATTTTCGCATAAAGATGAGTTTTGTGCCCGTATGAATGCATTAAACGGGTTTTAATGCATTCCTATGGGCTTTTTTATTTCGCATAGCGACGAATCCCTATAGCGACGATTTTGGCTGCACGGATTATCGTCGCTATGCGGGGCACCACTGTAACATTCTGGGAGCAGCTAATGAGCCTTCCTACTAAGGCATCATTTTCTGACTATGAGAATAGTGATCTGAAATATTGCAATGGATGGTGTGTGTATGTGTGTGTGTGCACGCAGTTTCAATGACAGTCAGATTCAGTCATAGCTCCCCAGTGATATGTAAAGATTGCCCACAAGAAGCTTAAAACATTTTTGAATTGTTGACACTTACAACTGCCTATAAGAAATCATGTCTTCTTTCCTCTAAGCTCCTCATCAATAAATAGTTTTTCTAGTAAATGGCCTTTAAATCTTTCAAGAAGGCCATTTCAGAGAATGGCATATTTACGAGCATAGTTAAAGGTCTTAAATTGAATACCCACAGATAGCTACACAATGACACTAAAAGGACTATTTACGGTTGCCATTTTTATATGAGGATCCTGAATTAAATATTGACAAAAAAGGTCTATTTTATGAATTTTTCCCATGGCACTTTGGCAGTAATTGTTTTTGCAAGCTATGTCATATCTTCCCCGAAGTCTGAAGAGTGCTCTTTGGAAGCATGTCTGGGATGGCCTCAGTCTTATTCCCTTCCAGAATGTTCAAGGGGAGCAAACAGCCCTCAGGCAAGAAAGAGGTGGGAGCAAGAAGAAGCCTCACCGCTTTAAAGGCACTTGAAGAAAGGCAGCTAAAGAGAGTGAGTAGGTAGGGGGCTCACCCCCCCCCAGCTGCTAAAGATTTATCTCTCCCAGTGACAAATGTTCTTGTCCTTGAAATATGACTACAGCCAAACACCAACACCCCACTTCTATTCCAGATTGGAGCATGAGAAAGGGATTGGATAACCCCTTGTCTCTGACATACCTCCACCAATAGAGACTGTTGAAATCTGCCTATCAGACAGAGGCCGAATCTGTGGTACAAAAGGCAGATGCAAATGACAGTGCATCCAAGTTCAAGGACCATTCATACTTATCAAGATGTCATGAAGGAAAGTTGGGTTGGAGATCCTGAGGTTGTCTGCCAATAATAAAGATGAGATCAGTTCAACTGCTTGAAAGGTCAAATGCACTACTATGTACAGTAATTACAATTAAAAGTGCTGTTCCTTGTTGAGGAACCTCAGATCATGCAGATATGGTCAGATTCTGTACTCTGATTTTGGGAGCAGAAGATACCCAGTTCTTGCTGCTAGTATCACAATCTATCGAATCTCAACGGAAGATGCAATGACAAAGGAGAAACAGATAAGGATACAAAAATCATCACAGATTTCTGTGTTGTAGTGAAATGATCCTGATCACATTCCAGTCAGCTGAGTACCCATCACTTCACATCCTCAGCCCCACAAATGTCAGCCAGGTTCGCAGAAACGGTTCATTATCTTTTTCTGGAAGCACGTCCTAATTATTACTTAATAAGTGATGTGTGCATGTGCATGCACATGCACAGTATATAAAAATATACTCTGCAACAAAATAAAAGATTTGATAATCAGGGTGCTACATTTTAATAACAGGGTTTCCCTTGTTTTTTAAACTCCAGACTTGAAAGCTGCAGATCACATCACCGTCATTAGCCATCTAAATATTAGAAACACTTGAAACTAAGGATGTTGACAGCTCAGTGAAATTTCAGGAGCTGTTGTTCTTAATTATCACTGTCAGTACACACAATGCTTCCGGATGGTACAAAGAGGGCATAACAGCAGGAGTGTAAAGATTTCAGAAAACATCTCATTTACTAATTAGACTGTGAAACAGGTAAACTACACAGTGACACATAAAAGGCTCCTCCCCAGATTTGGAACAAATGCAGGAACTCATTCTGTTTTGATTTTTTTAAAGCAAGGGTGTATAACCTCCAAGTACTTTCCTCCCACCCTTTCCTTGCACCTTGATAGGCTGCATCCCTCTCCAACAACCCTATTCTTAAAAATAAATTGCTCCTCCAGTCACCAAAGGTGCCCCCCCCACCATTCTCTTCCAGGGCCTCTTTTAGGCCTTAAAAACACAAAGCAAAAAGTTCCCCACAAACCTATTCCCAGTCAATGGGCACATAGTGCCTGCTTGTTTTAAAGCAAAATGGCTCTTGATGCTTTATGAACATGAAAGCACAACAGCTCCGTGTCTGGGAGAGGCAATGCTGAAATATAGCCTAGTCATAAACTCAGATGTAATGCAAACAAAGGGCTATCATCAAATAAATAAATAAATACTGCCCAGGTCATTTTTTTGGTTCTTTTGATTCGACTACATCTTGATATTCTGGGTATTTTCTCCTGTTCATTTAAAAGAGAAGGTGAGTAGCTTTTCTGGGTTCCATTTGCTTCCCACCCAGGGAGGGGCATGCTAAGTCTCCAAATACAATGGGCTCTCTCTGTGTCCAGCTTGATTTATGGTGAAGACCTAGACTGTATCTCACAAGCCGATTGGGGGTGTGGAGAAGCAGGCTTTTCCGTGTGTGCCTTGGAGAATGAGTTTCTCCTCTGATCTACCTCGCACATTTACTACACTGAGACCCACTGCCCCACAAGTCACAACAACTCTAGTGGATCACAGCGAGATGGGGAGCCAATTTTTCCCTTGCTTGTATGGGAGCCGTAGATCAAAGAAGTGATGATCTGGGAACATGGAAGGTGAGGAGCTGGAAGAGGAGAACAATGAAGATCAGCCACCCTGGAAGTAATTGTAGAGAAAGATGACAAGGAACAGGTGCAGCCTTGAGGCAGCAGATGAAGGCTGACAACAAAGACAAGCCATACAGATCCTAAAAGAGCCAAAAATACTATGGATTAAGTTCCACCCACATGTACTGGTTAAGAAAGGGTGGCCTGTAATTGGTCACAAAGATGTCCCTCTCCACCTCCAGGCACCTTACTTTTGAAAAAGTGGCAACCCTCAAGATGTGAGGTCTTCGCCAGGACCTTCTTCCTGTCTCTCTTCCCCTCTCCCCCCAAATCTATTTTCTGGTTGTCATCTAGCAAGATGGATTTCAGAGAAGTCTTGTTTTGATATGACAAACTTACAGTCGTCTAAACTGTCAACCTGGAAACCTCATGCTTTGAGAGAGACGTAAATATGCTGGGTGCATGCTTTCATCCTCATCTGTTTGACTGCAAAGATAACTTTCTGTATCTGAGATATTGATAACGTGATGTATGCTTTGGCTTTCTCCGGGAAGAAGAGGTTCCATTACTTGTCTCCTGACACAGACTCCAACCCAGACACATTTGTGCAAGAACAAGATGCAGGTGAGTGAGCAGCCCCAGATGTTCCAATAGCAGCATGAACCACTGCGACAGTGCTTGCTTCCCTCAGAGCTAAGCAGACTAGCTATTATGCTCTGTTCTTGTCCTGCAGCAACTGCAATACATTTCTCATTCTAACCTGCCAAAAAAGATGCACATGCATGGCCAACTTAACAAACCTTTAATTCTATGGAACCTTACCCTTGAGACAATGGACATCTCTTTTTGTTGCTGTTTAGCTGTTAAGTCGTGTTTGACTCTTCGTGACCCCATGGACCAGAGCATGCCAGGCCCTCCTGTCTTCCACTGCCGGACATCTCTTTATATAGTGGCTATTCCTCACACCAGCAAAGGCTATGGTTTCCTTGACTCCTTCAACTCTAGTAAAATTCTATTGTCTATGCCTTCACTGGGTCATGGCCCTTCATAGGGATATGTATACATACAGAGAACAAAGTATGAGTACACCATATGTCTTAAGAAGTGGATTTTAATCAATAAAAGCTAACAGAGAAATAAATTTCCTAGTCATTCTGTTTTGTTTTTCCTTTTTCCCTTTAATTTTGCCAACATGCTGAGACAGACTAATATGGCTACTTCTTTGGAAACATCTGTGTTTAAAACTCTCCACCTGCCATCTTTTTAAACACTCCACTTAGGTGCCAGGGTTTAGCTGCTCCAACAGAAATCAAGCAAGATGTGGAAAATACATTTGCCTGCTCGCTCACCTATTTCTTTTCCAGCAAGAGGCAGATGAAAGTACAACTCTGTTTTGAAACTGGCTTCCCCAGACCAATCTGAGAAACAAAACGTGGGTGATGGTCCTAAGCACCTTCCCTCTGCAGTTCTTGGCTTCCAAATTATTTTGTGGAACACTGTTTTCTTCATGCTTATTTTGCATTCAGGGGCAGGAAAGTGTCAGCACCCATCATAAGGGCTAGAATTGGTCAAGACCATCCATTCCCTGCCCTGCAAGCAAAATAAACTGGTACTGTTCTGCTTCTTACTGAGAATAATTAGAGATAAAGGGTGTAAACAATTTACGAATGTGATTCACCAATAGTCTGATGTTCACAACATACTGCAGTTGTTCTTCTGGTGTTATGAAATCTCAGAAATAGTGGCTATGTAAGTTTGCATATAAAGAATAAACACGGTGTCAGGTGATCATAAGGAGAGGCTTGCTTGCCATGCACTGTTTTGTTTTATCCTTGTCTGACAGATACATAGGAAATTTAAATTCCCTACCTTCAAAAGCATGGAGAAGGAACCATCTAACCATCTGAATGTGAGATTGCAACATTTATGATCAGAAACAATAAACTTTTGTGTTGAGTACCATAACCCACAGACAAAACTGAGGGCAGCCAAAGCCATCACCTTTTGTCTCAAAGCTTCCAAAAGTAAGTGGTTGGCAACAATTAAACAAGAAATTGGCTACATGAATGTATTCCTCTCTTGCAAGACAGTTAGTTCCTTTCATTTTCATGTGCCAACTTGCTTGACTTCCAATTTTTACACAATACTTATTCCAGAGCACAAACACTGGTCTTACTGTTTAATCCCCAAGCAAGCCTACTAAACTCAGCTTGCCAGCTCATAAAACACAACCAAGGTCTATATGACACTACCATTTTGTTAACTAGTTTACATAAAATACAACACGGAAAAAAGCCACTGGTAATATACTATGTACATACATTTATATATTTACAGCTACATACAGAAACTTAGATTGGCGGCAACATGAGAATTCTACAAGCTGCTGCCTACAATACTGTTCATACCATAGGTTGTTTGTGGAAATGATTCCTTAAGAGACAGAGGAAATTGGGTTGTGAGGGGAACCCATTTGCGTTAGCACCTTATCTAGCCATTGCAATGGTCCATGCAAATGGATCTCGATCCAGCACGGAGTACTGGTGACATCCTGACGATGATATTCTGCTCCCCAGCCCTACAAAAAAAGATGAACAAATGATTGTCTTGTTCTTCATCTCATCAAAGGTCAATTTGCACCGCATTATTGGAAAACATCAGTTACATTCAGGAATGCAATAGCGCCAAATACAATGTCATATGAGTGGATTACCATATCCACCATAATAATTTACGTTTTCCTACCCTGGCAGCTCTGAAAATCTGCTCCAGATGGCCCTCTAGCCCTGCGAACCAAGTTTAGCTACCATATCCACCATAATAATTTCCTTTTTCCTACACTGGCAGCTCTGAAAATCTGCTGGCCCTCTAGCCCTGCGAACCAAGTTTAGGAGGGTAATCACAAGGTGAGGGACTTTGCATCTGTCCTGCTGGTAGAAGGACACTATTGGAAATCACCTGTACAAATTAATTGTTTAAAGTATGGTAAAGCAAAGGCTCTTTTTGCTGCTCACAAGTCCACTCTGTTTCTCAAGTGATATATCCTGCCACAAACATTGAGGAAATGAAATAGCAAAAAGCAAAAGGTGAATTATTGTTCCCAGAAGCCTTCAGAAACAGCGTCCACTCTTTACTGTAAATTAGTTGCAGGGCTCCTTGCACTATTCATCACCAGAGTACTCATTTTCAAAACTGGAAGTGGACACCCAGCCATCTCCTACTTCATTTTTCAAATTGTTTACATTCTGTGCAGCCCCCAAAGAATCCAATGGTCAGGAGGCTGGGCTCCGGACCTGCCCAAGTTGTCCACCCCTGTTTAGGCAGCAATTATCACAAAATATACAACAGAAACTGAAAGAACAAGTTTGCTCACCTGTGGAAAATAGAACAGAGGTTAAGTTGCAACTGGCAACAAGCAAAAAGCCAGGAGGCCCATTTATTTGCCTCTGTCTTCTCCCTCATGCCTGTATTTCTGCAGCTGACAAGCTATAGGTTTAAGGTAACTTTGGAAGCTACTGAGAGTGGATTCACACCCGCCAGTACATCATGTCCTTATGACTTAAAAAGACATATGAAACACCTTCAACTGCTATATTCAAGTGATTAACAGAAAAATAAATTCTCTGAATCACCCGACTGCCAGACTGCTGTCACATATAAGTATCATTTGATTCTGCAGGCACTGTGGGAGTCCACTCCCAAGCCAACTACACCAGAGCACAGAGTGCTGTCCTCTGAAGATGCTGGCCACAGAGACTGGTGAAACGTTAGGAAGAACAACCTTCAGAACACGGCCAAAGAGCCCGAAAAACCCACAACAACCATTAGATCCCGGACGTGAAAGCCTTCGCGAATACAAGAAAACCTATCTTTGAGGATTCAGCCTCTGACCTTAGAATGTCGGACATTTTGTCTTTGTTAAACCTTGATCCTACAAGCTCCACCTCCAAAGAGGTGTGTTCCAATTGGTTTGTTCAGGATCAGCTGACATCAGTTCCATAAGGCTCCTGACTGGAAGAAGCTAAGTCTCCTGATTATAGGAAACTCAGCCTTGTGGCTGAAGGGAGTCTGTTTATAGAGGCAAAGTATGTGCCATTTTGTTCTCTTCTCAGCCATCTCAGCTTACTTCCGTGTAAAAGATGCCCCCTCAATTTTTAGGTTAATCGTTTTAGGAAAAAGTAGCATCTTATAGATGGAAAAATACAGTACAGTGGTGCCTCGCTTAACAATTACCTCGTTAAACAACAAAACCACTTGACAATGAGGTTTTTGCAATCGCTTTTGTGACCGCAAAACAATGTTCTAATAGGAAAAATTCGCTTCACGATGATCAGTTCCCTGCTTCGGGAACCGATTTTTCACTAGACTGTTTTAAAACAGCTGATCGGCGGCTATAAAATGGCCGCCCGCTGTGCAAAATGGCTCCCCACTGTGCTTTAGGACGGATTCCTCGCTGTACAGGCACTGGAAAATGGCCACCCTATGGAGGATCTTTGCTTTACGATGAGGTATTTAGCGCACTGGAACACATTGAACCAGTTTTCAATGCATTTCAATGGGCTTTTTTGTTTCGCTTGACAAGGATTTTGCTTAACAGCGATTTGAACGGAACGAATTATCCTTGTCAAGTGAGGCACCACAGTACCTGCTCATGCAATAAATTTGTTATGGCTCAGGATGTTCACACAGCCATCACATACAGCTCCTATTTATACTTCTTTGCACTGAATGTAGTTGCAAATGTCTCCATGAGCAACAATCTATGGCACTTTCTCTACTCTCTTTGAGCCTTGAAGAATGGACAAAAGAATGCTGCTCCTTGCAGACAGCTATCACTATCAGCCTGAATGATTGGAAGAAGAGGACTTAATAGAGACAAGGCTTTCCTGCCCAATTCTTCATTCCTATTCTTAAGTGTTGACTAACACACTCAGCGCAAGTAAGACTCATCCACTATTTGGAGGATCTAAATGTACAGATCTATGAACCCGATCTACTTGAGATAACTTCTGATGCAACTAAATGGCTGGGGTTATTTTGGACATGGATGGGAATACATAGCCTCTTGATGATGTGGGATTACACCTCCCATAATCCCTGACACTGACTAGTGCTTCTTGGAGGTGCAATCCAACATTACCCAGAGGGTCACAGGTAGAAATTTATGTATCATTTGTATACCTATCTCCTCAGACTTCGCTATTTTTTTTAATTAAGTGCAAATCTTTTATTTATTCTTCTAAATTCATACTCTTCCAGTTAATGCCATGCAACCACTCCTCTACAATATGCTCAGTTTATCTCCTAGAATTGTTCTATTTGATACAATGCTTTCATGTGCTTCCTACCGTATACAACAAACAACTTTATATCGTCAAAACTGTTTCTGACATAGCATCGCATCTGACAAATTCTTGGTTCATTGAACAGTTCTCCATCTCCCTCTGGTGGCAATTTGAAAACTGTTTTAGGGTGATTCTGTTATCAATACATATTCTGTGCAAAGCTCAGAAAAACAGGGTCCCTTTTTGAGAACAGTCTTACAATGCAGGCTCTGTAACACTGGTAGATGGATTCCTTGAGCCATTGTTTCAGGTCAGTACAAGTTTTTCTTGATATTAGATTGAAATCTGGCTACCTGTAACTTGAGCCCATTGTTACATGTCCTGCACTCTAGGATGACTGAGGACAGATCCCGCCCCTCTTCTGTATGACTACCTTTCAAGTGTTTGAAAAGAGCTATTGTGTCTCCCCTCAGTCTTCTTTTCTCTAGGCTCAAACATATCCAGTTCTTTCAGTCTTTCCTCACATGGCTTGGTTTCCAACCCCCTCTCCTTGTTGCCCTCCTCTGAATTTGCACAAGTTTGCTGGCATCCTTCTTAGAGCGTGGTGACCCAAACTGGTCACAGAACTCAAGATGATGCCTATCTAGTGCTGAATAGAAGGGAACAAGTACTTCACAACATTTGTAGACAATACTTCTGTTAATGCATCCTAAAATAGCATTTGCCTTCTTTTGCTGCCACATTTCACTGTTGGCTTATATTCATCTTGTGATCAACAACAATTCCTTCTCACTTCTAGTATTCCTAAGTATACAGTATGTTTACTAACTGTGTGTTTGGTTCCGCCCTGCCTGGTGTAGAACTTTGCCTTTATACCTGTTAAATTTCATTCTGTTCTTTTCATCTCCAGCCTATCAAGATCTCTTTGAATTTTGCTTCTGTCTTCCAGGACATCAGCTATTCCACCCAATGTTGCGTAATCCACGAATTTGGTAAGCATTCCCTGCTGCTCCTCATCCAATAATAAAAATGCTGAAGAGCATCAGGCTCAGGACTGAGTTTTATGGTACCCCACTTGTTACCTTCTGCAAGTTTGAGAAGGAGCCATTGATAAGTACTCTCTGAGCAAAAATCTGTAACCAGCTGATAGCGCTCACTCCCAAGTAAGTGTGTACAGAATTTCATCTTTGGTAAACTGCTGTGGCTCAGCTGTAGCACTGAAACCACTAATAAGAAAGCCACGAGATAACATAAATTAACTCCTCTATTACGTAGATGGTTTGATGCTACATAATATCTCCATAAAGTAACACAGACCCAACAGAATCTTTTGTATGGAACAGTTCCCAGAAATCTTAGTATTCTAGTGGATCTTCCTCCTCAGTGAGTTTGCAAAGTTGCTAGCAAGTCTAAAATTATTTCAGTGCATTTACAAGTGACCCTTTATGTAGAAACCTTGTTGCTTCAGTAGTGAAAAACCACTCTAGGATTTTGTCATTTGAAACTTTTTCACAGAAGACTAGCAGTCCATACAGGTGATTCACACAGATAAGCAGATTAGAGAACTTGATGCCACTGGTCATCACTGAACCAAAAGACTACCACTCATTCCCAAAGTTCAGATATGACTACAGGGCAAATGTAATGGCTCAAGCAACAAAGAGCATAGTATTAACTTAAAGATTAAAGAGTTTTAGTTGGCATAAACTTTCTGCATGCCACTTCTTTAGAAATATTACAAGAAAAAAAATCCAGAAAAAACTATTTTCACATGAATTACCAGAACTGGCCAACAGAGGGAGACTCTGCTATGAATACAGTTGTGCCTCGACTTACGAACCAAATTGGTTCTGGAATGCTGGATGTAACTCAAAATGGTCGTAATCAAAGCACCATTTCCCATTGAAATGCATTCAAATGTAATTAATCCATTCCAGCCGAAGGAAAAAAATAACAACAAAAAATCACTGCAAGACCCATTGGAAATGCGATTAATCCCTTCCAGCTGAAGGGGGGGAAGAAAAGCATCCAGCGTGCAAGACCCATCGGAAATGCAAGGAAAGCAAAGGAAAAAGCAAACAGAGCACATCAGAAATGCAAAGAAAGCAAAGGAAAAAGCAAATGGAGTGCAGTACATTGGAAATGCAAAGAAGGAAACTGAGCACATCAGAAATGGAAAGAAAACAAACGAAAAAGCAAACGGAGCACATCGGAAATGCAAAGAAAACAAAGCACATTGGAAATGCAAAGACAACAAAGCAAAAAGCAAGGGAAGCATGCAACACCCATCAGAAATGGGGAAACAACCCCCCAAAAAGCAACCAAACCCCCCAAGACCCATCGGAAATGGGGGGGAAATCCCAAAACAAACAACCCCTCAAGACCCATCAGAAATGGGGGG